AGAGGCATCCACTGCTTTATGACAAGGAGGGTGACAGCCAGAGTCAGAAGGCAGATTGCAGGGTCAGCCTAGGCTAGAGGTCACCACAATCCCTAATAACTCATTATTTTCTTAATCTCGCCGTCCCCTCCTCCATAAGTGACACGCAGCTGTGGGGGTTCTATGCTTTGAATTGGAATACAGCCCAGCCCAATAGCCACATTTTACAGTGGTTGTCGTGGCTCTAATAAACCGTTGCATCCTGCTGCAGAATCTCGCCCTCTCTGCAGCCTCCTGTCACTGCTGGCGAGGCTTCATATCTCTCACTTATCAGCATTTCTCTTTCTACTTAACCATCTCCGTCCCTCTCTCTCTCTCTCTCTCTGTCTGCAAGAGGAAGTGGCGTGCTCTGCAAGGTGCAGCTGCAGACAGGAAGAGAGAGAGTGGGGGGAGATGGGGGGGAAGCTGATAACACACTCGACCACAGATGGTTGAGCAAGGCTGCAAGAGAGTGAGGGGGAGAACACGGGGAGTAGGGAGAAAAGAGAGAGGGGGGGGAGAGAGAGAGCGAGAGGCATTCGTCTCTCGGCGAGAAGAGGAGAGAGGAGGGATCACGTGGTCTGTGGACGTTTTGTTGCTGCAGCCAACAGATCTTCCGCTGCTGTCTACTGCGGGCGGATGGATGCTCACCACTCAATAAATGCCGGGCTTGAATTGCATGAACCGCTCATTGTTTCTTCGCAGCGGCTCGTTGCGGAGACACGGACACGGGAAAGCATGCGTACCTTCTGCTAGTGTTGGATCTTGAGTGTAAGAGGGGGCTGGGGGGGGTCTCTCAGGGTGAGCGGGGTTAACTCGAAAACCACCTCCCTGTAAACAGACTCCGCGACACCGGTATGTTTCTATGCCCGTGAGAGGGTCACGCGCGGTGCATGAGCGTGTACATGTGTGTGCAAGGGACCAGGTGCGTTCGTTGCTGTACGTCGCGTGCGTGACACCGGCGTCAGAGCGCACGCGCACGCACACACACACACATACGTGGAAGGAGGAAGTGACTAGACGAGCCCGTACGCGCTCTCGGATTTCCTGGGTCTCTCCTCTCCGGTGGCACGCGAAGCGCCGAATCCGAGGCCAGTTCACCTGTCTCTCCCCCGCACGCGGGACTCAAACTCTTCTGAGTGCGTCAGAGGAGGAACGCGTACTTTTCTTTCTGGATGAGAGACGGACGACTAGAGGCGCGTTGACTCTTGAGGGTTCTGCTGCTGTTGTTGTTGAGATAAGCCAGCACTTCCCCCGACCTGTCAACGTGTTTTTGCACCGGTCGCGTGGGGCCTTCTCCGGACCTCCCCATGACCGTCAATACGGTACTGACCCCCTCCATGACCAGCAGCAACAGCATGAGCAGCGGGTACTGCAGCCTGGACGACGAGAGCGAAGACTTCACTTTCTTCACGGCCAAGACCTCGTTCTTCCGCAAGAACCATCACGCGGCCAAGGTACAGGATTAGCGTCCTTCTGAGAGATGGAGCTGTGAAAGTAAAGGCAAAAAAACCCTCCCGTGGGTCTGTGGATGCGTGTTTCCACTGTGCCGGGAACCAAACTGCCATTTATATCTAAAACATGCTCGGGGAAAAAGCAGAAGTGTGGAGAGGAAGTGGTGTGTGCATTTGTGAGTTGGCCTCTAGGTGTGTGAGAGTGTAGGAAGGGGTTACTGTCAGTGTCTGATGTTTCATATTATGTCGCTCAGCCTTGTCCATCAACCTTGATGCCTTTCAGCAGCTCCTTTATCGTGTGAGTGGACGAGTATGGGTCCAGGATCACTGTCCGAAAAACTCAACAACTTGTGTGTGTTTTTTAATTATCTCAGACTGGTAACAACGGCCGACAGAGATAATGTGTTTGCAGCATTTCAGCAGAGATGTGAGGTTAAGGATGGAAACCTACACATTCCATAGAGGCTTCTTGTCAACAGTGTGTGGGAGATGTTTCCGTAGAAACAGAGCTGATTCGTTTGCACTAGAGCGTGCGCATGCGTGTGTGTGCGTGTGTGTGTGTGTGTGTGTAGCAACTACTTGACTGTAGAAAACCATTTTCCCAGTTACCATAGCAACTCTGGGTTTTGTTGGCACTCACTTCCTGAGCTTTGCTTTTGGTCTACTGTACATATTACTGCACACATAATTGTGTCACAGCTTAGCCTCGACATACGCAGAATTGCTCGCACTACTAGTCAGGTGCTTCCTGATTGTTGTAAGGGATTTTCCCATAATGCAAAGGTGACTGAATCATTTTCTGTAGACGGATAGAAAAGTAAATGGTGTTTTTTGGGTGTACAAAACCCACACAGTCATTTGCATTCATGTAAAATACACACACACACACAGCCCTCTTTCTGCTGTCCTGATCCCGACACTGCCTTTGGTGTCTGACTTGAAGAAGGTATAATCTCTGAATAATTGACCAGCTGTGTTGCCAGTGTGCACAGGGTTGCTGCTTTGCTGAGGTAGAGGGTTATAGGGAACGGTTCTTGCCCTTTAATTGCATTAAAAAAATGCTGTGATGGGAATGTTTCCTGCTTTAGTCCTGTATTTGAATATGACAGGAAGGCATCCTACATGCCACAAAGCTCCTTCCTTTTGGCTCCTATTTATGCGTCCTATTAGTTTTAACCATGATCGGGTCCAGTTGTCTGACTCGGAGCCTTGCCTCCGGACAGAAAACCAGGAGCAATTTGTTGTTCACTTGCTTGGTATTTATTGTAATGAAAAACATAAAAGAAAGATGAATTGCAATTGTTTGGATGCCTAATGATGCCAATCACCACCAGGTGCAGTCACATAGCCTGACGCCGAGGTCAAAGGCGGTATCTGCCGTAACCCGTTTCTCCATCAACTGTGCCATTCACACCAACTTATTGAAGCGCCCGCCTCACCTGTAGGGGGCACACTTTGCTTTTAACACAAATAAAAAGAACAAAAATGTGTTATTTAAATACATGGACATTAACTTAAATGCAGCTCCTACACACTAGCCACAAATTCTTCTCCACAAGAATCCATTATCAAAATATAGAGCTGTATAAAAAAAGGAGCTATAAGTTTGAATTGAGACATTATCACATATGCTGTGTCGGAAATTCCCAAATGTGTCAATGTCGGCTTCAACGCCTCCGTGAATTCACATGCACAGACACAGGGAAACAGTTATATCCATCAAAACAGGGGAAGGGGAGTTCATATCTTCTTTGCTTCATGAATTATCCAGCGCTGAGCTTTTTACTCCAGATTAGCAGGCCAGCTATAATGTGTGTGTGTGTGTGTGCGTGGGTGTGTGACATCGCTGTGATGAGCAGGGAGCATGCTCAGTTTATCCAGGTCTGCTTTTTGATGCAGTAAAAATGAATGCGTTATTTCCCTTTCCATTAACAGCATGAGACCGTAGTATCTCAGACACTGCACACATCAAGCAATTAGGAAAATTGTATGAAGGTAGACTAAATGCTCTACTTAATATAAAATGTTCTGTGATAATTATAGCTTGGAAGTAATCATTCATTCAAATTGACCCTCATCTTTATTATTATTTTAACTTTAAGACATTTCGGATGAAAATATTTTTGCTCCATTGCATTATTTTTGAGGAAACGGTTGATTGTCATAGATCCATATTTCATCTATAAAACACAATACACACTTTAAAATATGATGCATGGCTTTACATTCCAAGCCCATAAAAAGTAGATTAACATCGATCAGCATGTTGGTTTCTCCATCGAGCTTCCCCTCGTCACATGACCCGGTCAAGGCGCTGCGCTATTGCACATGTGCATGAGATGTTGTTGAAGTCTGACAAAGGATTTAGCTCTGTATTATTTGAGTATTGTTACTTGAGTTGTGACAGGGCCACTATGTCTTTAATTTGCCCATTGGTAATAGATCCCAGACTCCTTAAGATGATGATGTCAAAATCTACCACACACCCACACAAAGGTGTGATTGAGTCAGTCAGGAGTGAGTCTGACTGAACCAAAAGGTTGTCACGGTAGGCACATTCGCATCATATAGACTACTCCGCAGCCACATTTCAAAAAGCTGACCTCTCTTGTCTTTTCTCATCAGAGCCAGAGCATCAACACTTACTCAGTCACCCTGAGGGTTGTGTGTGTGCGTGTGTATATGTGTGACACTTATGTAACAGTCTGTCTTCCACACACTGAAGCTGCTTTACATCTCTATGAATCTGCCATAATCAAACTGGATTAACTGGCTTGGACCTGTCATCTGTAATAATATTATTATCAGCAATTAGCATTCATACCGTGGGAGCTCCTAAAAGAGCCGCTGATGTTTTTCTGGGTGAAATTAACCTTTGGTTGTTTTATCCCTTCAGTAGAATGGACAGGGTTTTTTCACTTGTGTCCTCAGGGTTTGTTCAGTAAAAAAATTGAAATTTACTAATTGCAGTAAAACCTCATCGTTTAGCATTTGAGATTAGAACCATTGCAATATGACTTAAAAATAAATCTATGACTCTGATTATTTCTCTGGAACCAAAATGTAATAAAGTACGAGAGGCTGTACTTTATTGTCTAATAATATGACAGTTCGGGGGAACCCTCGAACCATTATTGAAGACAAAGTACTGCCTCAAGTACCTTATTGCTTTTTTAATACAATTACCAGGGAAATTATAAATAGTAGGTAAATAGCTGCCTTTCAGCACAAAATAGTTGTAGCCACTAAACATTGTGTATCGCATTTCAGTAGTCTAGAGAAAAAGAGTCCCCGTACGTGCATGTAAACAGCATTGGGTCTCTCTCACACCGTCTTCATTCACATTGCTCATGACATCCACTTTAATTGTCCGGTTGCGAAAGCTTGCATTGCCCAAAAACGGTCATCATCACTACCGAGCTAAAAAAACAAAATGTCAACTAACGGCTGCGCAAAATCTAACCTGTTACTTTGAGTGCGCAGTGATATGGAACGCTCGGGTCAATGTGAACAGCAACTGTACATTATCGCTGAATAATGCACGCTGACTTGTTCGTCAAGTCAATAAAACTGTGTTGTTTTATAATCCCAGTTCAGACTGATTAGATCTTGCGGTCATTGGATCCCTCCTGACCTGGTCCAAGCGGGGCAGTGTTCCAGGACATGTGGAACTCTCAGGGCTGGAAACTGCTCTGTTGTCCTGCTCTATTGTCCCCTGACCACAATGGCTGGTATGCAGACGAGGAGGGCAGGGCGCGGCCTCTGATACATTTAGAAACCTGCATACAAACGCAGGAATTCCTGCAAGGTTCTTTTCACTTTCTTGCCTTAGACGGGAAGAATTTTGCAAACAAGTCATCTCCTCCGGGTCCGTAAGATTCTTTTCTCAACCCTGGACTGAGCAACGCAAAGTTAATGTGAGTGAATCTTTGGCGCTACAGAACTTGGGTTGTAAACTTGGAAAGGTGTTTGCATCCTAATCAAAAGGGATTTCTACCGTTGAATTTGTGACATGCTGGGAGCACAATATCAGCTCCTTTTACTGCAACATCAAAAATGACTACGATTGAAGAACCATAACTGCAGGAGGAGTTACCAAAAGTGCGGAAGAGATAAAAGCAGCAACAAAAAGAATGAACGTGGAAGCCAAAAATCAAAGGTCCCCTTTGCTGTTCCTATTCGCACACACAGCGTGCGTGCGTGTGTTGTTAATCAACACAAGGTGCCTCCGTCTATGTGTGCACACATAGAAACACACACACTTTATCACACGAGCCGAGGACTCCCCTGCAGAAATGATTCCTCCTCTGAATTCTTTCTCTTTCTCTCTTTCTCCCTTTCTTTCTCTGCCCCAGAAAATGCAAACAAATAAGAGAAGGAAAAAAATGCCTTTTGTGAGATAGAGGATGCATCCCACTGTACTATAAATAACCCAGTCAAACTCTGTGTTGCTAAGGCTGGCTCAGTAGCCGCTCTTTCATCATTCCTCACCCCTTACTCTTCTCTTTCACTGCCTCCACCACCCCGGCCTCCGCCTCCTCCCTCTTTTTGTTGCTCCTTCTCTCTCACTCTATCTCACCCTCAGTCTCAAAGGCAAATGAGTGAGAGGGAGGCAGTGCCGTCAATATACTCGTGCTGTGATGCTGAATGCCTGATTTGCTCCATTAACAACATTTCCCGTCTCCCTGTTGAGCTGTGGAGTTGTTGGAGTTATTGGAGTTGTGTAATCATGAGGAAGAGATCGTATACAGTCTGTAAGAAAGCTCCATCGGCTTCAGTCAGAGAAACAGGTTCTCCTCCCAGGTTGATAAAGATGGAAGAATTGAGAGGTAGTGGTAGTAGTGCAAGAACCAGCCGAGGTCATGTTTGGTCTGATGACAAGTAAGGTAGTATACTTACAAAGGTTTGAAGGGTTGAAAGGTCTTTCCTGATTCTGGTGTATCCAGAAACATATTCATCAACTTGAGAAGAGCAAGGTAGAGCATTTGATTTTTACAGGATTTGTGGAGGACGATGCGCCATCTGCTGGTTAAAATTTGAGAATTATATTTTTTAAATACTTCTCATTGCTTTGCAGCAGAAGGAAGCCAAAGAGGAAGATGAGAGAGGAACAACGGACCTGTCAGAGGAAGAGGTGCGGACAAGCATAGAAGAATACAACGCTCAAGTCTCTGAAAATGGCATGAAGCTGGTGAGTTTTTAACTATTGTTGTATCTGTGTAACCCCTCGGGTAATGGATGTGTGGATGGTGGCACTGTCAATGCAACTGCCTTTTTACAACTTCCTTCATCTATTTTTATGAATAGAAACAGGAACTAAAGCTGGAACATAATGTTGAAAATGATTTACAAAAAAAGGATCAACAGTAAACATAAGTTCAAAGTAAAAAATAAATGAGTCAGCATTAACGATGTACGTTTCATCAAAGTAAAGTAACTTCTATATACATTACATTTTTCCCCTTGATGAATATGCAATTACTTCCGAGGGGTGAAACAAATACTGCTCCTGTGTTGTTGTGACTTTAAAGGAATAGTTTGACATTCAAGGATATATGGTTATTGGCTTTGCGTGTGGAATGAGAAGATTGATACCACTGCTGTGTCTCTCGCGGTTAGCTTAGCTTAGCATAAAGACGGGAACCAGGTGGATACAGCGTTGGGCTCTTTCCAAAGACAACAGCTTATGCTTGCTGGCAGTAGCTTCATATATATACATCATACAGGCGTGAGATGTGGATCAAATTTCCAATCTAATTCTCGGCAAGAAAGCAAATAACTGCATTTCCCAAAATGTTTGACTCTAAAGAACCATGAATATTTATTCTCTCCAGTCCTGATGTAATGCTGCACACACACACCAAACTCTCTTATCGTCTCTTTCTTTCTCCCTGCGCGCTCAAGGCTTTAGACGGATCCTACACAGGCTTCATTAAGGTCCACCTGAGGCTCAGTCGACCAGTCACAGTCCCCGCTGTGGAGGCGGCGGACTCGGAGGGAGAGTCCAGACAGACGTCTGGTCGCACTCGGGCAACGGCGGAGGGCCAGGAAGGGACGGACTGTGGGCAGAGTGAAAAGCGGACCTCCTTCTACCTACCCAGTGACTGTGTGAAGCAGCTCCACATCAGCTCTCTGACCACCACCAGAGAGGTCATCCAGGGCTTGCTGAAGAAGTTCATGGTGTTGGACAATCCCCGCAAGTTTGCACTGTACAGGCAGACACACCGCGACGGACAGGGTGAGGAACAGACGCCCGGTTACTAGATTGTCTGCAGAGGGCATGTGTAATACACAGCATTGAATGATCTTTGTGCTTTTTCCTCCTTTCAGATCTGTTCCAGAAGCTTCCTCTGTGTGATCATCCTCTTCTTCTGAGGTTGATAGCGGGGCCTGACCCGCAGCACCTCAGCTTTGTCCTGAAGGAAAATGAGACTGGAGAGGTGGAGGTTAGAAAAACACACATATTTACACACGCACACAACTATGTTTAACCCTCTTATGTATCTGTGTTGTCAAAGATTTTTTGCTTTATAGGCAGCTGAGGCCATATTCTCTCTGTCAGACAATCATTGAAGGTTATTAGCTAAATCTTTCTGCGGTATGACGATGTGTGTCTCTCATTGTCTTACAGTGGCATGCATTCTCTGTCCCTGAGTTACAAAACTTCCTGGTAATCCTGGAGAAAGAGGAAGCGGAGCGTGTGCGGATAGTGGTGCAAAAATATGCTGCGTTCCGACAGAAACTACAACAGGCCCTTCAACAACATGACCCCTGACCCCATGGCCTGATACCTTACGACCTTAACCCAGGGAGAGACTGACCTCTTAAACGCTGAGCCCCTGAAGACACGTAATCTATTCAGAGACGGGAGAAGAGCTGAACTTTTCGCCACCCTCCGCACACAGAAGCACCCAAACATACAGGATATCCACACTTCGATGCATACCCTTTCTCAGGACGCATGCAACGAGCCCCCTCCACCACCCAGACATCCACTACCCGAGGGGTGAAAAGGGGGGTGAAAGGTCACAGGGTGTGTGAGCTGATAGCTGATTGGGCAAGCAGTGTTGCCAAGGACACACACGCTGATATGAATTATTAGAGTTTTTAAAGATTCCCTTTTCTTCTGCTGCTGCTGCTACTGTAAGTGTTACTTATGCATGAGTGTCTCTCAGCTCAGCCCCCTGCACATAGAACTAGAAGGAAAATGGAAGGCATGAATTATTTTGGATGAAAGGACAATCATACTGAGTGTTCTTTTTAATTCAATTTTTCCTGGAATTGATGTTTAGAGTTATCAACTGATGTATTATGTCTCCACTGGAATATAAGAGGCGTTTGCGGTCAAGGCTGGAAGCAGGGGGCTCCTTTTTTCATTCGGATGCTAGAGCAAGAAAGAATGGAAATGTGAGAAAGCAAGATCCATTCTTCCATTTGGCTGATTTTTCTCAGGGAGCATACGTTGAGCAAAGAAACTTAATACAACACCCTGTTTCAGACAGCTTTGTCCCAAATACCAGCCTTTTCCATTTGATTCTATCATATTATTTTCCTACTTTAGCGCCACATGAAAAGACACTGTCTTGTGCTTCGCGGACAGAGGAGGTCTCGGATCAGACCCGGTCACCAAACATCTCCCTCTCTTCTCTCAGACAGTAACTGTGTTTGATTTTACCTCCCTAAATCCCCATACAACCACCTCTGCATGGACTGCTGAGCGAGGAAATCTGCAGAGCTCTACATATTTTACACTTTATTGTAAAAGAGATTTTACACTGTTATTATGAGTTGCATTTGAATGTGATGATTTTCTTCTTTTTTCACACCAAAGTTTAGAGGAACCGACATATTGAGAGGATTTTAAAGGGATACAAGACATTGACAAATTTATCTAACTAAAGGTGGTGTATGTTAAGAAATAAACAAACCAGCTTTTGTTTTTGCACATATAGATGGAAGTCACTGAATAGCCTACATCTTTGTGGGCGGGCATGCATTTCTGCTTCTGTTATCTTTTCATCTCCCCACATTAAACTAAAAAAAAAAAAGTATATTGAATTCATGGTAAATGGCTATGATGTACCAATGATGTGTTTGCAATGCATATGTATTGTGTAGACACTGGAAACTGAGTGAAAAGGTTTAACTTGCTTTGTTTTGTTATTGCAATGATTATTAATGATTCCTGCTGGTTTGTGTGTGTGTGTGTGAGAGAGAGAGAATGAATAGTGTTTTATAATGAGTGCCTGTGTATTATCAGTGCCCCCTCATTGGCCTCACTTATTGAGTCTTATAACATGCATTGTGTGCACATGTAACATAATGCATCACAACTACAAATTAGCTTGTCTTAGAAACAATATGTGAAATGCATATATCATAGAAAGCATTTACAATCTTCATTTCCCACACATTATTCATCGTTTTGGTAAAACCATAGAAATATTGATAAATGAGTCCAAAAGCTTTGATGATGATTTTTTAACGACACCACCCAAAGCCCGAGCTGTTGGGGCTGGCAGTGCCTTTTTGTTTCATGTGCCCCTGTGGATCTATGGAAGGTGTGTTTCCGCACACAGGTGCCTGAGTGTATGTGTGGGGACTTTTGCAAGTGTGTAAATCTGTGTTTCTTGGGTGGTGGTGTACATGTTTCTTTCTTTCTGCTCCCCTTAATACATTAGTCTTTCCAACAACACTGTGTATGGGTTGGTGTGTGATTGTGGTGCGTGTTATTTATTTCATGGTCCACCTCATTCCTATAATATTATCTCAAGGATGGTAAATCCTTGATGCTATTTTTTCTGCAATGTATTTTGGTTGATTTGAAGTGTGTGTGTGTGTGTGTGTAAAATTAAAGCAGTAGAACTGTACAGAATATAACAAAAAAAATAAAAGGACATCCTTTACTTGAATGTTGAATGATGTCTTGAATGATGTGTCTGGGCACAAAATGGTTCCCTTTGTGTGGGTCTTCAGACCTAACATGGGAAGAAAATCACGTCATATAGATATATATACCAGATTGCATAAGATAGTTATAAACCGCCAGGGATCCTCAGCTACTCCTGTCAGTTACCTTCCCTGAGAAGACATTTTTCCAGTCTAGTCCTCATATTTTAGACATCTCAATGTCAGCAATTGGAGTATTCTAGCTTTCACGATTGTAGTGCCTAGATTAGATTTATTTATTCATATATAAAAGAGGCACTAAATGCATCAAGTGATTTGAGAGAAGAATATAATGAGCAGATATCTGAAATAAAAAATGTTGAGCTTTTAATCGTTATTTTCTTTACTATAAGCCGGCTTGTATTACTTTAAAATAACCAGCAGGTGACAGTATCTCATCTAAACGGCAAGCACTACCTCATCACAATAAATAGAAATTGTGTGAGTCTGATTCGCAGATGCACTTGAGTGTGTGATTCTGTTGCCATAAGTGTTTTCTTATGCTCTGTGTTACGCAGTGACAAAGTTTGACACAATGTGTTTTCAAAGGGCACTCAAACTGAGGTGTTAGACTAATAAACCCCATCAGGTGTCAGTGTCTGTCACACTCTGAGACCAAATACAGCCAGAACTCACAGGCTCCAGAGCAGCCTATTGGTAGCTCTGCACATGGTCCACTCTCCTGCTGTGCTTGTAAATCCGCTGGCTGTAATTAAAGTGCCCGTTCGTCCACACACTTGCACCTTAAACCCTTGTGAGAAGAAAGTGCAGTAAGCAAATCAATTTATAGCCATTGTCACCCAACTCTCTCTATACACACCATCTAAGAATAAACCGCACAGCCATGCTGCCCTTAAAGACTGCCTGTAGAGCCAACTAAAACTGTGTTAGTAAGCTTATTTATGGCAGCAAATATAGACAGACCCCTCTTCTCACCTCTGAGAAAGAGCTAAGATTAGTGTGTCCCTCAGCCAAGCATGTATCACTGTATGAATTTAGACTGTTCCCCTTCTTGTGCCTGACCAGTCTCACTCCGTCTGTCCTCTGCCCTGCCCCTAAGTATATCTATCTGTGTATAGTTCTCCGTAGCTCATCCAGTTTCAGTGTAGGCTTCAGCTTTCCTGACAGGCCATCGGCAAAGTAAATGACCCATGCCAATGTGTGGGGTTGAAAGACGGCCGTTTGGTCTATAAAAATCTAATCAAATCAAAGGTCAACAATGGCCATTACAGTCCTCAAAAGGCCAAGCTGACGTCTTGCAGTAGCTGGATTTGTTTGACAGAACTAAGAAAACCAAAACTACTTCCAAGCAGTCAGAAGCACTTTTGCTCAAAGGAGACCTATTTTTCTGTTGACTATTATTGATAGATAGAGGGGTTGTTTCAACTCTACCTTTCCCCTTAGATCTTGAACATCCGTAAAACAATCTGCACATGCACAAACATTTAGCTCTAACAAAAGGCTCATTGGTGTTTGTAGCAAATGCGTAATGCTTTGCTGAATAGTGGGCCTCATTAAAAGCAACTACTTATACGTTTTTTTATATTTTTTATTCATAGGAAAGGCGATAAAGCCTTTGACCTTTTGAGAAAGTGATTCTGAGTTTGGACTTATCAATGGGCCAATTACTACAACCGCAGTCTTGAATTGTTGTTGTTATTGATAAACTGATCATTTATAATCGCAGACTGATGTCTATTCTACATAAATGTTCTATAACTCTGTATTCCACGTACATCAAATATTAACCCTTTATTAATTACTTAACATGAATGGCAGAAAATATATCACTCGAGCACCCTCGGGTCGGCTTCCACGCAGAGCTCCGCGCGGACGCTGCGCGGCGCCCTCCTGCTGGCCGTCTGGGTGCTCGCTAAGCCCCGCCCCCGGTCCCTCCTTCCCCCCGCCCGCCTGCTGCCCTGCGGCCACACCGAAGACTCCCTTAGCAACAACGCACAGCCGCGTCGAATAAACACTCCAGAGAAGACGGATTAAAACACCGCCGCTTTATTGCACCGAGTACAGGCTCACCTTTTTCCCCCGTGCGGACGCGGTGCTCCGGTTGTTTCTGCCGTTAACATGGGGCTCGAGCACAGCTAGCGAGCTAGCCTGTTTTGGCTAGCGACCACCCACCCCCGAAGACGAGCGAAGCTGTCCCCCGAAGCAGGGCAACAATCGTTTTGGGTTCGACCCGAGCGGTAGCATCGCAGCTCGCTTAACTACCAAGTCAGCCAACCGGGAATAAGCACGGGAATGGTGCACGGGGTCGATTCCCTGTACCGACAGAGAAAGGCGAGGGGCGCACGGGTCAGACCACCCGGCTGTGATATTTGGACGCGGACGGTTTTTAACACAGGGAGCGGCTGTTTTCGTGACCGTGCGAGCTAGCTGGCGAGCTAACCGAAACGACCCCCACCGCCTGCTTTCTCCTACCGCAGCCGGGACGAGGGCAGCACGCTGAAATCATCCGTTAAATTGACACGAGGTTAAAGTAAAGCTCGCTGACGCCCAGAGAGAAAGAAAATACGTCTTAGCAAACCGCATCCCGATAAACGCTCGCGTCATTAACACCGCTAACGTTACTTCACTTTGATACGTGACTCTAGATTGAACCCTTTCGTTTTCCCACTTTGTTTTTCTTTTTTTGTTGTTGTTTTTGTTTCCTTCTCTTCGGATGCTGGCATCACAAATCAATTATAACCATGATGATAATAAGCAGAAAACCAGAGGGCCCGATAGCAACAGGTAACGTGAACCCGTAAACGTTTGTTTGCACCCTTTTGTTTCGTGCACGCTGTCGACGTATCGGCGTGGCTCGAGTCTTCACCACAACAACATGTCTTCTTTTGTTGTTTTTCTGTGATTGCTTTTAACGCTTCAAGTAGTCCCAGGGCTGTCCTCGTAATGATTTCACTTATGTGGACACGGACCTCCTTTTTTTTAATTCATAAAAAAAGACAGTGCCTACTCTCGGGAATCCTGCAGAAGTGGGGGGGGTCAGAGGTCCAAACACCTCTGTGCACGTTGTCTACAAAGGGGCAAAGGTCCAGGACACCAGAGGAGTGAAGCAGTGACTTTACCCCCTCTGCACCCTCACGTTTTAGCACACATGCCTGTTTGCTGGGGCCGGGCTTTCCAGCCTCCGCTGTGCAGAAAGGCACTTCCACATCCCGGAGAGAGGACCCAACACAGCTGGATTTGGGGTTACGTAGAATCTTAGCCCCCACCCCCCTTTAAAAAGTTTGTTGCTGATGTTTCCCAGAGAGCGTTGAGCCTCCGCTGAGTAATAAATAGGAGTTTGCCGAGTGGCTACTGAGGCCCGTGCAGGCCCTACATTGTGTGTGGGGCCCTAATGCTTCTGTTTGCTGGGTTGTGCAGGTCTCATGCATCCGTATCCCAGACAGCAGGTATATTCCACCCCAGGGCCAACGCGAGGGACGGTGGCTCTAATGCACCTGCGTGTGGCGATGACACTCATGTCTAGTTGAAGAGCTCACCAAACCTACTACAGACCTGTGTTGGTACTTGTATTATAGTGGCAACCCGCTGGCTAAATGACCGTTGAGACGAACAGCTGGCTGATTTGAGGTTTGTCGTTTGAGTAACTGGCTCTCCTCGTCTGTGTGTCCCCTGGGGGTTCGGCACATTGCCACAGAGCTCTCGTGAATAACTGCACTACGGAACGACAGGTGCGCGCCCCCCTGCACGTCCTTCCATATGAGCTCCATTTCTGAGCACACCTGGTGTGTGCAGTACATGACTCGTACCGAGTGAGCAGACGGAAAGATGCTGTCGTCACACCGGCATCTGTTACTCCCATTAGGCCAATAATACCACTTGCAGCGCTAGCGATCTGGGACCCTAAGCCCTCTCTAAGCCGGCCAGGTCGGATCTCTGTCCCTGGATACAATGTATTGGGACACAATAGTTACAATGGATGTATCTGCTAATAATGGCCCTTTCACAGCGCATGTGGGTCAGGATGTTGAGGCAGACAATGTACATTCCCACCAGGTTACAGACACCAGAGATGTGGGCTCTGCCCTGCTAGGATTGGTTGGGCCTCACCCAATGATCTGTTTTAGTCTCAAGTTAAACGTTGGAACTGGTAGATTTGATTGATGGTATAATCAGTGAGACGTTGCCCGTCTTAAACTAACGAGGGATTGTCTCTCTGTGTGGAGATTAGATTGCGTTCTGAATACGTTGCCTCTGACTCTGATCGTCATCCTCAGCCCTTATCCCCGAGTGCATCTGTTGCAGATTTCCCATGATTCCACATTTCATGCCTGTTTGTTTGTTTCTGGTTTTAGCGCGCCACGGTGATGGTCTATATGACTCGTACATGAGGACAGACCACATCCTTAAGGACGAGGCGGATACAAACAGTCCGGCCGGCCTGCCCCCCATGCCCAAACACACAGTAAGTACACACGCACACAGTAGACAATCCCTATTTCCTGTGCTGCAGCACGCTCTGTCTCCAGACATCCTGTTCCTCAGAGAGATATTCCCCTCTCAGCCACGTTCCCATTCCTCACACTGCTTCTTCTTCTCTCTGTCTTAATTTGCAGCCGTATCTCTGTCTTAACTTTTATCGCCAACTTGTCCAGTCAAGCTTTTTTACCCTTCAATGGGGGAAAGGAGCTGTGGGTTTCAAAGAGGGAGATTTCAATTTCAATTAATGTGCCAAATTAGTTGAGTTGAAGTTGCGTCCTCGCCTAAGGTCAAGGCTGAGGTCCAACAGCAACTACCAACCGTGTGAATACTTGTAGTTTGAATGTCCGTTTCTAGCGATGCAAATTCACCAAACCACAATAAATTTATATACTGTAATATTGCTCCAAAGGAAAATAATTCAACTGAGAAATACATTTAAAAAAGCCTGTTTTTATATATTGTGAAGATTTATTGGACTTGAAAATGTGACCCATAAACAAAATCACCAATCAACATCCCCCCTCCTTCCTCCCCTGCTTCTGTCTCATGTATTCCTCCTATCAGTGTGGCCTGCAAAGTGGTTAGGCCTGGTTTTCTCCCTTTGTGTTTTCTGTCACGCTCACAGAGGCAATACCCTCTGTAGAATGTGACCAACAAGGGCTCGCCCCAATGCGGCTTGCTGCACACCAAGTGCTCAGCGTGGCTTTGTGTTCTACTAAAGTAATAGTAATATTAATAAACCAGTGATAGCCCTGTTCTGGAAAGAAATACATTGTAGTTGCAGGTTTTAATGCAACGCCGCGGAACACCGGGTCTGTGGTGCCTCCGAGCCGACCTGTATGCTTGAGAGAAGGACAAAAGCAACCTTAGGTGTTTCTCTGACAGCAAAGAGATTAGCCGTCTTCCATCTGTTGCACCCTGCAGATTTGCACACAGAGGACTCGCCACCATCAGTATTACTCGATGGTTAAGGAGATTCACGCTCTAACAGTAGTTTTTCATTTCCACCACTGGTCACTTGGCAAAATGCCTTTCTCTAATTAACCCCCCCGCCCCCTCCCAGTCATGAATCAATAATCCATATGTAGAAAAGCGTTGTTGTTTTTTAAGGCCAGTGTTTGTGTTCCTGGGGGAAGGGGCTCAATCGATGACATTCACTGTGTTTGTAGAACAGCTTTGGGACAACAGCTGCATGGGATCCTGGGTCAGCAGTAGGGCTGTTGTAATATGTTAGGACTATAGGGTTGCATGCTTGGCAACTCGTCCAGCATTCCAGCACTATTTTGGGGCTCGAACCTACTACACAAACACATTCCAAGTTCGGTCCCGTCAACTTGGACCACTCAAAATATGCTTCCTTGTTGCATCGTCTTGGTCGGCTGGCATGATTTTGGGCCGACGATGAAGCCACAAGCTGCATGGGGAAGTACAGCAATGGGAGAAAAGAAAACATTAGGTTCTAAATCTCCCGTCCTGCAGATGGGGGGGGAAACCACACGGCCATCAAAATAAGGAGTGTTCATGTAAATTAGAGAGCGAGAGAGCAAGTCTGCATATAGGATGGCACTGAGTTTGTCACCGTGTCTCATTAACAGCCTCGATGCTTCTGCAGTACAAGAGTATAATCTTAACTCTAATGACTGTCATTTCCCTTGAGCTCCATAATTTTGTGGACGGTTCTTTCCGCTGGTGAGGGAGAGAAGAGGTAGGGCCGGATAGTGAGGTGGAAGGAATTCTTGTAAGACTCAAGCCTTCTTATAACTCTCTGAACCTTTCGCGCTGTCCCACATATAGGTGGATGTGTCAGGTTTTTAAAGGTTCTCTGCTGATCTATTGAGAGAGGATTGCAGAAATGTAAATGTAATCTCCATCACTTAACAGGTCCCTACTTACTTGCTTTTGTTTTGTAGACTTCTTAGTCATTTGAGCCCTATTCAAAGTATTAGAAATCCTTTTCATAAGAAGCTAAAAGCAGGACTTCACAAATTGAAAGATTATTGTAATGCCGAGCCAATGATTTGCTGTGTCTTTTACCTAATTGCCAACAGCTGGTAAGTCGGTCCTTTTGCTAGAGTTATTTTTGGGGGCGGGCCTGTTATCCTTTTGACATTCCTGACGGATTGGCTCTAAATCCATTTGTGCAGATTCCTCTGCTGCTCGCTGCTTCTTTGCTAGCGGCTCGTTGCCTGCTACTGCGAGGTTACCTGCTGATATGTGGGCTGCTACCAAACATTCTCTGAGCTAGGTCTAACTAGTTTTATTTTGACTTTTTCCTGCAAAAATCCCCAGAGGCTCATTAAATTTATTCTATCTATGAATGCTGTATCTTTAGTTGCTTTTCTGTTGTTATCTCGCTGCCCACAGTAGCTCTCGTTGGACACTGTGTGCTACCAGTAAAAGGACAAAAACAGAGACGTCCTTTCTTCATTCTATTGAATACATACACAAAACAACTACATATGGCCTACACAGTGCGGTACATCGTTTACATTCTGTTCATACACTGCTACACTAGAGGGTTTTACCAAAGGAATCTACGGCTTTTTTGACCATTCTCCTCCTCCTCTGATAGGTTGTCAGCAACAAGACTGTGATGAGGGAGCAGGTCACCGTGAGAGGTGGCCAGCTGAAGGTGAAGTACATGTACGAAGACTCCGCCAACAACCGAAAGATTAACGCCATAAGCACAGCGGCCACTCAGAACAGTGGGACCACAGGCGTGATGCCCAGTAAACCGACCCCAGTCTCCAGCCTGTCCAAGGAGCACAGTGTAGACAGGTGAGAGGGATAAAAACATAAAATGTCTTCCAATGCAATAAATGTGGCAGAAGCCTAGTAGCAAGTGGGAAGGGGGGTGCACACCTCTCCAGTCGCTTACCGCCATGTTCCTCGCGTGCTTGTTTTGACGCAGCACTGAACCCAGTAAGGGCTCCGGGGATCCCTGCGGCCCTAACGCAGTTGCAAATGGAGGGGGCGTTGGAAAGCTGTGTGGGCCTCTGACTCCCGACCAGGCTCTGAGACTGTACCGATCTCAGCTGACCACCCTGGAGCAGGCGGAGATCCACTCCTACCCAGAGATCTTCTTTGTGGGACCCAATGCCAAGAAGAGGCCTGCAGTCGCCGGCGGCAACAACAACTGCGGCTACGATGATGAACAGGGTGGATACACCCACGTCGCCCATGACCACCTGGCTTACCGCTACGAGTTCCTAAAGGTCAGACCCATATATCGTCATATTGAGACGTGTTTGTAGGCTGTCACGATCACGCGTCCATAAAACTGATGAAGTTGTCTCTCGCTGACCTTTAGCCAACTCTATATTTAATCTCTCACAGATCATTGGTAAAGGTAGCTTTGGCCAGGTGGCAAAGGTGTACGATCACAAACTGCAGCAGCACCTGGCTCTCAAAATGGTGCGCAACGAGAAGCGCTTCCACCGGCAGGCGCAGGAGGAGATCCGCATCCTGGAGCACCTTCGCAAGCAGGATCGCAACGGCACGATGAACGTTGTGCACATGCTGGAAAACTTCACCTTCCGCAACCACATCTGCATGACCTTTGAGCTGCTGAGCATGAACCTGTACGAGCTTATCAAGCGCAACAAGTTCCAGGGCTTCAGCCTGCCACTGGTCAGGAAGTTTGCGCACTCCATCCTGCAGTGCCTGGAGGCCCTGAGCAAGCACCGAATCATCCACTGCGACCTCAAGCCTGAGAACATCCTGCTCAAGCAGCAGGGACGCAGCGGCATCAAGGTAAGACACCGGATACCTTCACACGGTTAGAGGGGGGTGAAGACCCGCAACCTGATTCCCGCACTGAACCTTTCTCCTCTCGTCTCTGCCAGGTGATCGACTTTGGGTCCAGCTGCTTCGAGCACCAGCGGGTGTACACTTACATCCAGTCCCGTTTCTACCGGGCCCCGGAGGTGATCCTCGGCTCGCGCTACGGCCTCCCTATCGACATGTGGAGCTTCGGCTGCATACTGGCCGAGCTGCTGACCGGCTACCCGCTGTTCCCTGGCGAGGACGAGGGCGACCAGCTGGCCTGCGTCATGGAACTGCTGGGCATGCCTCCGCAGAAGGTCCTGGAGCAGGCCAAAAGGGCCAAGAACTTCATCAACTCCAAGGGCCACCCTCGCTACTGCGGCGCCAACACCTTGCCCACAGGGGCCACCGTGCTCACGGGGTCCCGCTCTCGCCGCGGCAAGATGAGGGGTCCCCCGGGCAGCAAGGAGTGGAGCGCTGCACTCAAGGGCTGCGAGGACCCCACCTTTACTGACTTCATAAAGAAGTGTTTGGACTGGGACCCATCGTCGCGTCTCACGCCGACCCAGGCCCTCAGGCACCCGTGGCTGTATCGGCGCCTACCCAAGCCCCTACCCGGAGCCGAGAAGAGCTACGGGGCCCCGGTGAAAAGGCTCCCCGAGCACCACAGCACCTCCTTCCCCTCGATCCTGGCCAAAGGGGGGCCCGGCTTAAGCAGCACAGCCGTGAACAACAAACTGCGGAGCAACATGTTGGGAGATTCAGGGGACGGCATACCTCTTCGCACAGTCCTACCCAAACTTGTCTCTTAAAGAGAGAGAGCCCGGTGATCTCCTCTCTTCTGCCACCACGTCCTCTTCTGCACTCCTCAGGAGGAGTCAGGGCAGGACCAGGTGGAGACTAGGTTTTAAAAGTCGTTTGGTTGTTCTTTTATTTGTTTTCTACTGAGGTGTCGACACCCCCAGTTGATGGTTTTAAAATTAGCTGAGCAGAGAGAAAGAGCGACAATAAAATAAACAGTTTTTATATAGATTTCCTTGAGCGGCTGTGGAATTTCCGTATACAGGTGGGACTGAGGTTTGATTTAGACGATGCTTTTTAAAAAACGTTCTGGTATGAGTGGACGGACGGCTTCATAAATGAGCAAATGTTTTTAACCTGCGTGTGTTCTCACATAAGCGGTGTGTGTGTGTTTTGGGTGAAGCACACCTGCAACGGCACTTGCCCCACTTCAGTCTTCTTAACACCGAGAGGACGGCTCCCTTTTCATGGCAAGTGTTTATTTGAGTGAAACTTGAAAAGGGCTACAGAGATTATTCTTATCATATTAGAGCTGGCAAAGATTCATTCAGCCAACGTGATTGAATGGAAGGAAATGAAAAAAGAACCGAGCTGTAGTGTACGGGCCCTGCGCCCAGTGAAATCCTTTTCCTTCATATGTACAACAGGAAGGCCTTCACACAGGTAATGAGGGGTTGGCATTATGTAGTGAAGAATTAGAGAAACCCTTTTCTAGCAATAAGTCTTCACTCCTCGCTCTTACCAGGTCCCCGGTGCTTGCATGTCAACTCAATCTGTGACACTGGTACGGGCGGGGTCCTCGTGGTGCTCTGTGGGTGGGCGTATCAAGAGGGTGCAGGACCGCCTATTTGCAGACCCTTCCTCGTTCCTCAGAAGATTCTGGGGGCGGGTAGCTCCGACATATGCGTCCCCGTCACACTGGATGCTTCACAAACCAAGCATGCCGCGCAAGTCTGGCTCACAGAACTTTTTTTCTTCCTGGGGAATTGTAGAAGAGTTGAGAGGACGGACCAGTGACAAGAGGTTTTTTTTTTTTATAGACTCGTTTCTCAGGGAGACATACTTGATACATCCTGTGATCGTATATATTTTACTCTGTTCCCCTCTGTCCCAACCACGGATGAGCGTGCATGTATTTCCTGTCCGTTGAGAGAATGCGTCCACTCGTCCGTCTGCATGCTCCACAATCTGACCCAGATTCTCTCTCCTCCCCCCACAATCTCTTCCGTCGTCTCTCTCTTCTCATGTAGGGCAGGGAACCTCTTAAAACTCCACATGTATATCGTGAATTATGGTGCTGTTCAAAACGCACACAACCACACACACTGGCGTCAGGTGCACGTTTCATGGACCACACCGCTCAAAGAGTTCTTTCTCTTGTCCCTTGTCTCCTAAGTGAATCTGTCAGGGATTTTTACTTTTTTCTTCTTCTTTTTTTTTTTTTTTATAGAAGTGATTTCTATTTGCTAATCAGTCGAGAATATCAGAGGATGTAAACGCTGAAAAAGAGAAAGCAGTATACTGTCATGTTGTTCCTAGTGGTGTGCGTTAGTAGGAGGGTGTTTGGTGTTCCAGCATGAAATCACAACCTGTTATCAGACTGAGTGACTATGAGAAGAGAAACTGTACAGTTACCAAATGAAGTTGTGATAGTTTCTTTTTCTAAAGAAAATAAAAATGATTATTAACTTACGTGTGCTGCTCTGGGGTGATTTCTAGTTTTAGTTATTAATGAAACTATCTAGGTCACACGCAGACTGAAGCAAACATTCCCTCTTTTAACATTGACCCAATCCAGTATGCGCTCTCCCGAGAAAGAAGATGACCCGTGATCTAAAAAAATGACTTACGCTGAGCTGAGAGGAAAGCTTTGATAACTGAGGAGATGTACACAGATAACAGATCAAGAGAAGTTCCTCTTTTGCAGCCTAACCCTAAGCTCTTTTAACAAATGTTCCACCTGGGGCCTCTGTTGTGGACCCAAAGTGTCTCCAGGTGGCCCCTGGTTGTGATTAGGTTACAGATTCAGTGAACACTGGGACACTGATGAGTCAGTGGCCTGTGACACAACTTAGAGGCAGCGTGTGATCCTCACACAGACATGTTCTTCAGCAGCGCCGGGGAACAGCGCACTTACTGGCCGAAGCTTGTAACATAGGCGTGAGCATTCCGTCACAGTATATCTGGCGGTGCTGAGTCAAAGTCTGCATTTGTCCTTTACTGATGTGGGGTTTCACAGCTGTAGCCAATAATAACAACAATGAAGGGTACAGGTTTGCTTGGTTGTAATTATAGAGCCTCCAGTCAACAGCCGAGCTTAAATGCACCGCTTTGACAATTTAGGTAATATCGAGAGAGTTGGATATCGGTTGTGACCCTTGTTAAGTACCTGGTGAGCTCGCTGACGCTTCAGGTGGAGCTCAAACAGTCACATTTAGGAGACACTCTGCATTTCCACCTCTCTGCTGTCCTGCCCCTGTACTCGCCATATTTGTCTTTGGGATTATTATTTTAGCATCTTTCTGTGCAAGTGCTTTGCACCTCTTGTGCCTCAGCTTTTGCTTCTTCCGCCTGTACCACACTGTCACCTGTATGTGTGATGGTGTGATACACGTTACCAGAAGTACTCCTGTGAAGAGTGGGAAGAGATAGATAGTAGACAGGATCTCGTGTTCACACGTCAGGGCTGGTGCCTGGGGAAAGAAAGAGTTAGGTAAACACAGGGGAGTAGGGGGGGGGGGGAGGAGGAGGAAGAAGAGCCGGTTGAGCAACATTGTGGACTGAAGACGTCGGGTGGTTTTTAGGTGAGTGGGTAATGGGGTAAGAGAATGTTCAATACCAGCTGTTCTGGAAAAAAGGCGTGGGTATCGTTGATTCTGCTCAGCCTCGGCGTGACTCACTCTCTCCGTCAAAAACAAGGTGCTGGTATTTAATTAAATGATTGAGATCAGTTTCAACAAACAAAAATGAGAAGGCAATATTTGAAAGATTTTTCTATTCGGTGACTTACTGGTCCAAATTTTTGTTCCTTTCTCAACTATATATATATATATAACCCATACATATTATTAATTTGTATTTCTAACTATGCATATATAATATGTATGTATATATATATGTGCACAGTCATGCTAACTATATATTTTTGAAATCTGAATGACTCTGTCCTTCTCTCTTCGCCTTCTATTAATGTAAAAGCAGATTAGACCAATCCCATTAGACACCCACACCCAATCAACTTCTGACCATATGGTTTCGAGCTCATATGTCCCTGCATCCCCTCAGCACACTGACTGTTGTGTTCTAAATGAACGCCGGACGGGCAGAGGGCATCGCAGATCTAAAGGTTAAATCAAATGTATTTAATAAAAGAGATGGTGTTGCGGTAAAAAGAACATCTCAGCTGAGGAGCCGCTGGTCTCAGCAACCAACAGGCCCCAGGTCAGTCCTTTTGACCATCCCTAGTGCCCGTTTGTTGTCTCCACCAGCCAACTCGAGAACAATGGTTCCTATAGGTATTTATACCAATGCGTAAAGGTGTGAAAGTTAATGTCCACACCTCTGGGACATGCATGCATTCCGGTTGATCAAATACAATCATAACTGTACATTGGTATTACTCTATTGATTACAGTTGCAGAATCATGGCTGTATTCTGGTGTACACTAAATGCATTTTATTAATTTTATGAGCCGAGTCGTCAGTTTATTTCTAATATCCTGCAACGCCTATTCTCTGAAACACACAAGTCACATGGTGTATCTCCTCTGTTCTATGTAAGGAGGACTAAACCTTCGGACCATATGGAGCCACAGCAGGATTCTTTATGCTGCTGAGCGTGGATCACGAGGGGCAGAGTGGTGACAGTTCTCTGATCACCAAGGAAGGTTAAGTAATCTTGACCTGCTGGTTGCTTCATGCTCGCTCAGAGAGTAAATCTCTTTCGTGTGTGTTGTTGTTGTGAGTCTCTGGGAACAGTACATGTGATCAATTATACAATGTGCCTGCAGACAGCTCTTGTTGATCCACTTTGTGAGAATAATTGTGGACTTAAAACCTCAATTTTTAGTGGTATTTGGTTTTGGGAAATGAAAAATCAACTTTTAATTGAAGGCGCTGAAACTTAAGTTTTAAGTTTAATGCTTCTTGCTCACATTGCCTCGACTGTGTCAAGGTGTATTTTACTTTACTACTTTACTACCATTAAGGCCTCACATCAAAAAACAGAAACATGCTAACTGGAACTTTATACTTTAATTTGTTATTCCATGTTTATTTGATGGGACAGCCGACTTACTTAACCGGTGATGGACCTGAAAGCTGACGGATTGCCTCAAGGCCTCGCGGGGCCTTTATGACATTTTGTTTGTTCTCATTATCATTGTTGCATGTACAATATTCTTTATGTGGTTTGTTTGAGGTCACTGCAAGCTCTCTCGTGATCTACCGGAGGTACTTGTGTAGTGTCTGCCTGAACTTTAACCAGAACAGAAACTCCGTACTACACAGACCTCCAACGCAGGCTCTTCTGTACTTCAACCCTCCATCTACACATGCCTTTTTTCTGCTTGATATTGGAACAGACAATACAGCCTCTCTCTCTCTCTCTCTCACACACACACACACACACACACACACACACACACACACACACACACAGGCACTCCAAACTAACGGCGCACAGTCCTGGGTCGCAGAGTGCAGAAACACTCTGGAGCTATGTGTGTCGTCTGGCTTCGGTCCTCTGGGACAGCTGGGGCACGAACCGGGCAACGGGGGCAGCAGGAGGATTCCATAACCCCCTCCCCCCCTTACCCTCCCACAGAAAGAGATGCAACACATGTCCCCAAATGCTCAAAAGCCGCAGACTCTAGCCTTCCTTACCTCATCCGTACAACGACACACTCGCAGCTGAGCACACACTAGCCACACGCACACAAATGCACAGCTGAGCACAGGTCTACACAGGCTGAACAGATGCAAATGGTTGAGAGAGGTGGGGTTGTGCTCCGTTTGCTTACCCAACCCACCACAATGTGCATTCCCCACAGGCTGCAGGGTGGGAGCTGTGCACTTCTTCATAATGTGTTTCCTTCTTTCCAAAAGGCATTTTGTTGGGGCCTTTTGGCTTCTACTTACTGGTTGAAACCCTAGTGTCCCTGCCTGCATATGCAGCACCCAGATTTAGGTTTTCGGTTTTCTTGTCTTGTTTACATGACCTGGCTGGGTCACAGTTGGGCCTCAAATAGAAGATTACTCACCCTCTGTCTACAGAGATGAGTCTGACTGTTTCTCCATGAGTGTGTGTGTGTGTGTTTAAGTTCTCTTATAGCCACAAGGTAGCAGGTCTGCTTAGCAACACTCTAGGAAGAAGCACCACGGCCACATCATCCTTTTGCAATATCTGCAACCTCTCTGGAGGTTATTTTCTAGTCAGATTTTCTTTTGTGGAAAAAAAAGGAGGCGGATGAATATATTTAGCATACAGTAAGAGATGCAGTTCAGAGTTATTTACGTGATTTATATCTTCATTCATGTCTTCACTCTAATTGCATTATATTTGCACATTAATATCCTCCCATCCTTTTTTTCTGGCGGTGCTGAGTCAAAGTCTGCATTTGTCCTTTACTGATGTGGGGTTTCAGAGCTGTAGCCAATAATAATAACAACGATGAAGGGTACAGGTTTGCTTGGTTGTAATTATGGAGCCTCCCGTCAACAGCCGAGCTTGAGTGCTCCCAAAAAAACCCAACAATATTGATTTCCCAGCCATAAAGAATGAAACATCTGATGCATCTCTTTTTCTCCTCATATTGTCTTTTCATTATCTTTCCTGTAAAGGCACATTTATTTGTACAGCATCATTCAAAACCATTACAACTCAAAGTGCTTTACAGAAGACATCAAATTAAAAGATAATATCTGAAAGAAACTTCTTGGTCTGTCTGTATTGTTTTTTTTTCGTGCGAGTACCTATGTAACTTGATCTCTGTGATGAAAGGCAGCTGGAGATAGAGTGTGTGTCCTTCTTTGTGCCCTTCACCACCCGAAGCCACGAACGGTCACTTCAGCCCGCAGTGCCCGACTGCTGTCCTTCATAAAACACACTGTGCGATGCCATCTCTACATGTTATGTACCCCACACGCAAACAATCGACCCCACCAACACTACCAAGAGATGTCCCCAGTAAACATATCGGTGTGATGCGGCAGTGGCTGGGCTGTGGTTATGTTCTGGATGTGCAGCACTCTCTACCAGAATGGGCCTGCAGGTTATCTGTGGGGAAGCTCTCGGCTCCTTTTGTCCGGCAGGAGGCCTACAGCACGGACGCTGTCGACACAACCTTTCTGTTGCCGGGTAAATGGGATATTTATGGTTAGCTTCAGGTTTCTTCACAGAAGACAGGAGGACCACCTTTAGCAGGAAGTTTTAGGAGTTAGGGGTGTGAACCTTGACCCCTTATTGCTAAGATACCTTCAGTTGAGTACCCCATGAGTAGTGGACTGTGGGTGTAAAGGTTTTCCCTAATTTATTAGTGTTTTTATCTCTATATATTCTCTAATATAATAGGGGCTTAGTATGGTATACTCAGTGTTTGTGTTACATCTACAATTCTACCTTTTGTTGGATCTCTCCTTCAGGACTTCAGGACTGAGACTGATGTTAAGCATGCAAGCAGAAAAGAAAAAGT